AGTCCTAAAATCCAGGGAACTGAGGGCTTTTAGATGTAAAGAAATGGAGTGTTGGAGATAAAAGGCTTATGAGTTTTTCTCTGCCTTCAGTTATTCCCTAGGAAACAGCCTGTACCCCGCTAGTATTACAGCAGAGCAGACCTTGTTTAGATTGTAGAGCAGTTAGGGTTAGAAAGGACGAGTTTCAACACCCTACATATAACCTCAGATTTTCCTAGCTGTACAGGGCTTGTTTGGTAGCAAACCCAGTGTTGGTGTGCTTGTCTGAACAAACAAAAAGCCCTGCGTACATCCCCAGTTTGAGCTGTATGTGGTTCTTGGAGAGGAGGTGATCCCCTATGTCCGTGTGTTTTACAAACACTGTATGGTGACCTTCCTCCCCTCTCTATTATTTAATATCCAGACATGTTGAGGCCAAAGGTATGAAGATTGGCTCAAGGATGTGCAGATTTCAGAAAGCACCCTATTTCCAAGTGCTGACCTTGCCTTTGTTGTGCTCTCTCCTTGCTGCAGTTTGATGGAGTGCTACCAGAGGAGGAGGAGGCAGTGGCAGAGAGTCCTGTGGAAAAAGACATTGGCATTGCAAATATCATGGCAGAGAAGATAGAGATCATCAGCCCCGTGAACTCCCCTTCCCTAGACTTCAATGACAACGAAGACATTCCCACTGAGCTCAGTGACTCCTCAGAGACCCATGATGAGGGTATGTGGGGACGGGCTGTGTTGTTTTCAGCCTTCTCCCATCCTTTCCAGTGAGGGACTGAATACTGAATTCCTTTTCTGGACCCTGCGAGTTCAGAAGATGCAAAGAATTCCCATCCTGGGGATGTGGGGTATTTGGAAGGATGTCCCTAAAATAACCTGTGTAGTTAATGACCCCTTCTGACTTTCCAACTGTTGCCCTGAGTCAGTGGAGGGAAAGGGTTGCAAGTACCAACTTCGGGTTCCTTCTTCACTAATACCGATGTCCTGGTGCTGTGAAAGCACAGCCTCTGATATTGGCATGGATCAGGGCTGAGTTTTGTGGGCCTGTTTCCCTATAGGGGAAGTCCAAGCCTTTTACGAGGATCTGAACGGGCGCCAGTATGTGAATGAGGTGTTCAACTTCAGCGTGGACAAGCTGTATGATTTGCTCTTCACGGACTCCCAGTTCCAGAGGGACTTCATGGAACAGCGCCGCTTCTCCGGTAAGCTACCTGGCTTTATGTTCTAATTGTAAAGAGTCTAATGTCTAATTGTATGGAGGAAACAGCTCTTAATTCTGAACATCAGCTAAAGCCTGGTCCTGTGTTCAAGGTTTAAGAGTGTGAGGAAAAAGCTTTTCTAGCTGTATACCACACACAATGGCACAGACTGCACAGTTAATGATGCAAAGAGAGCATCCCTTGGCATGCTGTGGTCCTCCTTTCCCTGTAACTGGAGCTTTAAAGCTGAAGGAGATAGGTCTTGTATATAAAATGTAGGTATTTTCCCCTCTTCCAAGTGCAGGGAAAGGGGGAGAGGCTGAGGACATATCTTTCACACTCAGTTGAGCTCTAGTGCTTCTGCAGCCAAGGGGAAGGCATTTTGTCCTGAGCATGGTTATATGGTCATGCCTTTCCCTAGGGAATTGACCCGAGATCCCCCTCCAGTTACTTGAAGGGATTATTGTTTTGCCTTCTCAGATATTATCTTTCATCCCTGGAAGAAAGAAGAAAATGGCAATCAGACCAGAGTGATCTTGTACACCATTACCCTCACCAACCCTTTGGCCCCCAAAACTGCCACTGTCACTGAGACACAGGTATGTGGAAGAGGGAGCAGGGGTGTAATGCTCTGTAGAAACAGATCTGTGGTTGATTTCCTTGTCTTGGGCATGCTGCTTTGCATGTTGTCATTCTCCCTATCCATTTTCCTTTACCCATTTTTCTTATATTAGCTTGCTATCCAGTGTCACTGCAGACATGAATAGCTAATCTGAGACTTCCACTGGATTGCATTGCAAGGAAAAGGCCATACATTTTCCAGCAGAAGCAGAGTTGTTTGGGAACAAGCCAGCACATGCTAACAATTGTGTGTGTTACCCAGGCTGGTGCTTTTTGAGCTGTGGTCAGTCCAGCACATGTTATTCATGAGCAGGGCACAAGAAAGACACTGTCTTGCCAGTGCTTCTCACAGTTCTACATAGAGATGTCCAGGCTGGTGAGGACAATTAGATGACCTGTTTAAAGTGATGGGCAAAGGGAGCAGCACACTGTCAGGCAGGCAAGGACCATTTTATTCCGTGTTGTGGGCAAGCACCAAAATGCACTTTGCTGTGTCCTCATTGCAGAGGTACATGGAAATAGTCTGTAAGAAAGGATGTGATTTGTGTATGAATCAGATCAGAAGCACTTGAAAGAAGTAATTGACATGTTTCTGCCGTGTTTAGAACCACAGAATCATTTATGTTAGAAAGGACCTCTGCTTAAAGCAGGGCCATTTTAGATCAGGGTGCTCCCTGACAAGCCAGACATGAGTTTAATGAGGTCCAAAGGAATGGGTCCTCATGTGGTAGTGTGTGTAACTACATCTCTGGAACAAAATGCTGGGGGTTGAGCTGCTGGGACTGAATGGTCCTTTTGAAAGGTGCCCTTGAGTAACATCTGAGTGAAACCCTTGGTTTCCTTGAGCAGACCTTCCCTTAAAGGTGAGATGTTCACAGGGGAATTGCAGAGATGGAGCGTGGGTACGGGCATGGGCTCCTGTTTGTGGTAAAGTGCTGGTGAAGGTGCCAGTCTATCAAAGCCGTGTTCTAACCAGACTAATAGTTGCCTTGCATGCTGTCTTTTCTGCAGACAATGTACAAAGCCAGCCAGGAAAGCGAGTGCTATGTCATAGACGCAGAGGTGCTAACTCACGACGTCCCCTACCACGATTATTTCTACACCATTAACCGCTACACGTTGACTCGTGTTGCCAGAAACAAAAGCCGACTCAGGTACACTTCTTGGGGGATGAAAAGAGCCTTACTGATGACCAAAAGGCACCTCTGGGTGGGAGTTCTGCTGTTTGGTGTGTTAGAAGGGGTTAGGGAGCACTTAGCCTTATTTCTTTGTCGTACCATGAAGAGTTGCCACAGGGGTGATAGCCTACAGTGGTGGCATGGGGCAGACAATAGACCCAATGCAGAGGAGTTGGGTCAGGGGGAGCCTTTACAGGCTTCTCTTGCCCCCTCTTTGGAAGCAGTGGTTTGCAGGGCTGGTGGTCACACACAATCAACATGTGACATGCTTGCAGGGGCTGGGCTTGGGGGGACAAGGGGAGGAATCTGATGCCAGGCAAAGCTATAGGCTCCACTAAGCAATGTAATGCCTGCCTGCTACATGGCTGAAGGTCTTGGGAGTCCTCTTGGGGGATGCTCTCGTGATGCCTTCCTGCCGCTGCCTTTGGAAGGCCTTTTCGTGCAGTGCTTCTGGAGAAACATGAAGGGCTGAGACCATTGCAGAACCAACAGTGTGCAGGGTTATTTCTCATTTATTATTGACACAGGAGTGTGAATTGACATCGCCTCCAGGGAGCAAAACTGGGATAACGACTTTCCTTTCTTCCCGTAGGGTTTCCACAGAGCTGCGTTACAGGAAGCAGCCTTGGGGGCTGGTGAAATCCTTCATTGAGAAGAACTTTTGGAGTGGCCTAGAAGATTATTTCCGTCACTTGGGTAAGAGCAGTGATGAGTGGAGCTGCACAGTGCAGCACCTTCCATAGATTATGCATGCATCCCTGGAGCATGACATTGTCATACTTGCTGCCAGCCTACTGGGGATCAGACCTTGGAGGGTGAAACAGTAAAGTGCACTGCTGGTTCTTCTGCCATATGTTTCTTATGCTTAAAAGGCTGTATTAGGTTTGCTTTTTCATTTATATAGGAAAACACATTTTTAAATGCTTTTTTGCATGATAAGCCATGATTTCCAAGTAAGGGTGCTCTTGAGGAAGAACTCTGAGACATGGAAGTGCTTAAAACCCATGTAGATGAGGCCCTCAGTGATACGGTTTAATGGTGGTCTTGGCAGTCCTGGGGTAATGGTTGGACTTGATGATCTTAAAGGTCTTTTCCAACCTAATTGGTTATGATTCTGTGATGTGTGGTACATCCTCTGGCACTGCCTCTTGGCTGTGCCATTCGAGGTCTTCAGTCTGTATCTCTGCAAAGCCAAGGCCACCCCTATTAAACACTTCCCCTTGCTGCCTCTGCAGAGAGTGAGCTGACCAAGACAGAGAGCACGTACCTGGCTGAGGTGCACAGACAATCCCCCAAAGAGAAGGTGAGCAAGCAATCGACCGTGCGCCGGAGGAAACGCGCCCATGCCCACCTGCGGGTGCCGCACTTGGAGGAGGTGCTGAGCCCCGTCACCACCCCCACCGACGAGGAGGTTGCTCATCGGATCAAGCATGTGGCAGGTAAGGGACTGCAAGATCCCTCATTTCTCTGTGCAGGGTTAATGGGAAGAGGGGACAGGGCTTTCCAGGGCAGGAAGGATGGATTGGATTGGGGAGAGACTCTTCATTAAGGACTGTGATAGGACAAGGGGTAACGGGTTCAAACGTAAACAGGGGGAGTTTTGATTGGATATAAGGAGGAAATTCTTTCCTGTTAGGGTGGTGAGGCACTGGAATGGGTTGCCCAGGGAGGTTGTGAATGCTCCATCCCTGGCAGTGTTCAAGACCAGGTTGGACAGAGCCTTGGGTGATATGGTTTAGCGTGAGATGTCCCTGCCCATGGCAAGGGGGTTGGAACTGGATGATCTTAAGGTCCTTTCCAACCCTAACTGTTCTATGAATCTATGATTTGATTTGAGGAGATGGAGGGGTGGGTAGAGGGAAAAGGGATGCCCTCCCCACCGGACAGCATTTCCTAACCTGACCTCATCTATCTCCCCAGGTTCCACTCAGACACGGCACATCCCTGAGGAGAGCCCCAGCGGCTTCCACCTGCAGAGTGTCTCCAAGCTGCTCCTTGTCATCAGTTTTGTGTAAGTGCTTTTCTTTGCTTTCCTTGTCAGCTTCTTAGCACCTTTGGTCCTTTCGTGTTCTGTGCTCCCCTGAGCCAGTTTTTACTCTCACATGTTCCTCTCTAGTCCCAAGCTTTGCACAACACAGAGGAAGGAAAAGCAATGACAGGCAGAAAAGAATGAATTAAGATTTCCCCCAAGTGTCCCATCAGGTCTTTTGTTTGGCTTGATCCCAGCTTTTGTCAGTGTTTAGCTGGCCACAGATCTGGCTCTATAGGTTCTGGATCTTATTTTATCAAATACTTCAAGTAAATGAAGTACTGAAATAAATCACTTAAATCAATATCTAAAGAGAAGAATTCCAACAAATAGAAAGTATTTATTATTTCAGGGACTCCGTTTAGAGATTTTCAGTGACATCTAGAAACTGTGGTTTTGGTTTTAGTTAATTTAAGTCATTTAATGCAATCTGGCACCAAACTCGCTGTTACGATGAAAGATGACCATGCCAGGCTCCCTGGGAGTGCTGTGCTACCTTAAGAGCGCTCACTGTATGTGAGGAGTCTGGCTGTGACTTCTTTCCTCTGCCAAAACCTGTTTGGGACTGGTCCTGGGCAGTGGTTTTGATGAGGATAATATCTCAGAAAGAAGCTGGACCATTTAGAGATGATTGCTGTAAAATAAGGGTAGAAATACATGAAGCAAGATTGATCAGCATGGTTTTATTGTTCAGCAGCAGGAACTGTGTTTGATTCGGGTCCCTTTTCTGCCACTACCTTTCACGGTGGCTAGTCTTGGACTTGGCTGGATGTGTGCTCAAAGGGAGCTGTCTATGGGCTCCTTGTATCCCTGTGCTTGGTTTTTATACCTAACCCCAGGTGTATTTACTGTTTCTTTGCCTTTTGGTAAGTAGCTTTCATGTGTTAGTGCTGCAGTGGATGCTGGGCAGGCGCTGTGAGGTGCTACAGGAGCAGTGCAGGCACAGTGGGGTTTTTCATCACATAGAGAAATGGAAGCATGTTGTTAAACCCCGAGGAACAGCAGAAATTGGGCTCAGTCTTAAGCTCCACTTGCCTTTTAGTGAGGTGGGAAGAAGCTGAGCTATAGACTGAGGTTTCTTTTCAATTTGAGCTCCTTGCTGCCTTTCCTTTTCCCAGTGGGGATAGACTGTAGAGGTTTGCAGCAGCAGCCCAGCTGGTTGCTGTAATGATGGGTAAGGTAATGTAAAGTGATGTAAGGATGAGAAGGCAGCCTTGTGCTGTCTTTTGCTTACACAGCTCATGTTTTGCTGAGCATCTTTCACCATTAGCTGCAGGCACGCAGTTAGGTATCTGTCCTTCTTGCTTCTCTTCCCACTGTTTCTTTCTTCCCTCCTCTCCCCATGTATCTTCTGCACTATTGAGCCCTCTCCCTTCAACCCTGTTTCTCCTGTTCTGTGTTGGTCTGTTTCTAACCTGCAGCTACTCCCTTTTCTCTTCCCTGCTCCCATTAGGATCTGTTTCAGGTACTGTCTCTCTCTTTTTTTACCTCTTTACTCTTCCATTTCCCTCCCTTTCTCTGCATTCAGCTCATCCACTCACCCACCCTGTTCTGTCTGATCCATCATCCCTGTCTTTCTGTCTCCTGTCTTCCTTGCTCACACATTTCTCCCACCAGGTGAAGCTTTGGGTTCTGACCACCTTTTGCTTTTAAATTAGATCAAAATCTAATTTAATTAGATTGAATTCCCACTCACATACAGCGTGGACCTGACACCTTCTGAAAGCCTCAGGTGTGACTGGCAAGCAGTGGGCTATGCCGTGCTCCTAATGACCTGTTCTCTTTATTCCCAGTCTGGTGCTGCTGGTCATTCTCAACATGATGCTGTTCTACAAGCTCTGGATGTTAGAATATACTACACAGACACTCACGGCATGGCAGGGCTTGCGACTGCAGGAGAGGTACTATCTATCTGTGTCGTTTGCTTTGTACCGGGGAGGAGAATTTGGGCCTGTGACACATAATCAGCTATTAGATAAGTGCTGTGAAAGGTACAGGTCCAGATGTCAGGAAGTTGTTGGAGCATGGGAGGAAGAGAAAGATCACAAAGAGAGCACAGAGCACAGTTCCTGGCAGTAGCAGATGGGAAGCAGGGAAGTGTGATTGCAGATTAATTCCATTTCCTTAGTAATTGGTAGCACAGGGCCTTGTCCAAAGCCTTTTGGACATCCTATTTCAGTATAGTGTGCTGAGATGTGTAAAGCTCTATGCTGCATGGCAGCATTTCCCCGTTTCCTTTGCAGAAAGCATGACAACAGCCAGGCTGAGTTTATTGTGGGGAGCAGTATTTACTGCATAGAGTCCTCCACTGTGTCTAGGGTTAAAGGCAACCAGACAGTTGCATCTCCCAGGATGTGCACATCTCCCCAGCAATGAGAGCTCACCGCATTGGTTCCTCCCACAGTTCAGCAGCTTCTGCAAAAGGCACATCTTTGCTATTAATTCATACAGAGAAGCACTGTATCTGATTTAGGAAATGCTAAGCATGTGTAAACGCACTTGTGCTCAAGAAAACATTTTACCCTTTAGGGTAGAAAGACACAAACTGATTGATAGACTCTACACGCTCCCCCAATCCACTTTGCTCCCCCTCAGCCTCAGTTTCCCTGGATTCACTGTTGCTTGTGTTCTGCCTGACAGGTTACCCCAGTCTCAGACAGAATGGGCTCAGTTACTAGAATCTCAGCAGAAGTATCACGACTCAGAGCTACAGAAATGGCGTGAGATCATCAAATCTTCGGTGATGCTTCTAGATCAGGTAACATCAGAGGGTCACTGTGTCCTCCTTAAGCCATACCTGTTTCCACCTTAGTCCCTGTGGAGAGGGCTGCTTACCCCACACCTCAGTTCAGCTCACCCCATCTCTGTTAGGTGGGAAAATGCTCTCTTATGGGTTCCCATCTTCCCAGTCCCCGCTTGCACATCCCATCCCCAATGCACCGCTCACAGATTATGGCATCAATACTTTACATGGAGGAAGGAGGGACCAACAGGGAAGGAATTCCCAATGTGTTCTCACCTCTAGGGTGGCATCATAGTGGAGAACTTTCTTGTCTTGCAGATGAAGGATTCACTAATAAATCTTCAGAATGGCATCGGGTCCCGGGACTTCGGGTCAGATCCAGAGGAGAAACGGAAACGTTTCCACTAACAGGCAGGAATGCAGGAGGCCAGAGGACGGTGTGCAATATGTGTAAATAGGATATATAAATATATATATATAAATATATATATATACAGAATATAAATATATATATTATATACAGATTTTAAGAGAAAAAAAAAACAAAACAAAGCCTACGTATCGAGAGGAAGGATTGACCTCCAACACTGGCTGAAATGGAGCGTCTCGGTGGCAGTGTGCTGTGTGTGTGTGGGGAGGGCTGTGCTCTCCCAGCACTGAGGTGCGCTTAGGGGCACCTCGGAGCGTGCTCCCCTGGGCCTGTGCACCACCCTTGTGTAATATTCCTGCCTGTCTCTGTCTGTCTTATGTTGTTTCAAAGGGAAGCATCAGCGTGAGTGCCCCCCCACCCCACCCCTCCCTGCGCATGAAGGTCCCTGGGTGACTGTATTTATCTATACACACGAAGGGGACACTGTCAACTTTCTTACCTTGCTGGCTTTGGGGCGGAGAGGTTTTGGCAGTCACTGTCAATGCCTTGCAAAACTATTCCACATTGGGAGAGGAGGCTGCAACGAGAGCTGCTGTAGGTCTGCAAAGAACATCTCTCGCTGGCAATCAGCTTCTCTATGTCTTGGAGCAGAGATGCTATTTACTGTGGTGCCAGCCAGCCTGGTTCAGAGAGCAGAGCACAGCACATAAATGAGCTGAAATGCTTTCTCCAAACACTAGTTTGATGCCTCCTGTTATTGATACTGCATTAATAGCCAAGGAGGTGGTGGGAAGGGGAGTATCTGCCTACAAGGTGCACGGATGGAGGAGAGCCGTGCTGCAGGAAGCACGCTTCCATCCTTTTGACAGTGTCCCCTGTAGTTCTCTGCTTTCCATGTGCTGGGGCCCCTGCCATTGAGCCATCCCTATGCTGAAGTTCTACGTCGGTGCTTGAAAGGGTGACTGCCTGTGTGACTCCCCATGATGGGGGAGTATTCCAACTGGAAAAGCAAACCAAAACTAGTATTGCTTTGCAACTGCTCCCACTCCCCTGGCTCAGCAAATTTCCCTCCTGCCCCTGGTCTGAGAGACAATTCTGCTCATACCTTGTCTTACGAACTCTATGGGAAACCAGTAGGGAGAGAAAGGACAGCTTCTTATCTTGCATGCCTATATCTATATAGAAACAAGGGCTCTGAAGGTCCAGGAGAGGTTAGGAAGGGTCATGGGGACCAAAAAAAGGAAAGGAAAAAGGGACCATCAGTGGGTGGCAGGGATAGATCTGGATGGTATCTGTGGTGCAAGGTATCTGACTGGTATCCTTTGTAAGCTGGATAGTGAGGCTCTACCTCTGTAAGCACGTCAGGTGATAGAGCTGCATTAAAAAGACACGAAAATCCATTAAATACGGATTTTCACTTGTTCTGGGGGATAATTCTGGACTCCTGTTAGCAGGCAAATGAGGAAGAGGGGCAGCAAGACTGTACCCAAACCCACTGCGACTGCCTGGGATGCAGAATGCTTGTCTCAATGTTTAATCAGTGCTTTTTCATCTTACCCAGCCACGTAGATTAGGTGATGCGCGAGGTCCTCAGTGTCCACCTTGTTCAACACCAGGATTTTCCCACCTTCTGAATGGCAGGAGGGAGTCAGCTGCATATTCCCTGTATGCAAACAGTGCAGTTGTAGCTTGTCTGCTGTCTCTAGCTCCAGTGGGCGCTGCAAGAGCAAGGGGACAAAAGGGTGAGTAACTGCTCCTTGTATTTTACCCTCATGGAGTCCAAGGAAAACCCTCCCAAGCTCCCACATTCCAATACACGTACACGTAACCCACTGCTTTCTCCCACCACACAACACAACGTATCCCACGGAAGACTCACATTTGAAGAAGCACAGATGGACACGGGTTATTAAAGAGACATTTGCGAGTGTGAAAGCAAGGTACAGTTGGGGAAAACATGCCTCAGCAACTAGAGTAGTGTGTATTTATGACTATTTATTTAATTTAATGCTGCTGACTACTGTACTTTGTTCCTCCCTGACTTTGGTCCAGGGAGGCTGCTGAAATGGCTACTGTACAATGAAACTGAGGTGCTAGTGTGTTCTGTGGCTCATCTTGGGATAGGAGGGCCCCAGTTCCCCACTGTGACTTGACACACTGGCCAAGAAGTCCCGTTTCCCCATTTAGTCCCACACTTCCTATAGCATTCTCAAACACTAACACTCATTCTGCTTGCACATTGCTTTAAACCGAGTTTAACACGTTTGGCCCATATCCTGACACAAAGCTATGTTAAATCCTTCAATAAACAGCACAAGGGTGGCCGTCGCCAAATAGATCTTGCACATGCAGCGACCTTTAGACCAAGGAAGGTTTCTCTTTCTAGTTACTTACTGTCTTTTTGCCACCTGGCACCAAGTCAGGCTTGCAGTTGGACAGGATTCGTAACATTTTATTGCCTCTTAATTTATCACAGGAGTAATAAAGGAGAAAAAAACAAGGTCTTTTTCTTAAAGCTAACCCCATAATGGCACTAAAAGTGAGAGCTTAAAGAAAACCTTGGCATGTTTTCACCTAGATGCCTTCCTGCCTCGAGCTATGACAGGAATCACCTGCTACGGCAGCTGAGTCCCAGTTGACAGATTAATTCCTTTTGCAGCCATAGAAGATGTTGGACCAGTCAGTTTATGATGCTGTTTCCTGGAAAAATCAGCAATGCTTTCTAGGAGCAAGGCAGAGCAACCTTAATAGTGTTACTTCCACATTCCCTACAGTCACAGCCAGGGGTTTCCATTGTCAGGGCTTCACATCTTGACTTGCTTACCTGTGCCAGAAATCCCAAGTCAATGGCAGGGCTTTTAATAGCTCCTCGCAGCCGTGTTTCCTGCTGAGTGCTCCCTCTGACCCTTCTGCTGCTGCCAATCTGCCAGGTGAGCGCAGCTGGGGTTTGGTTTGCAGCATCTGAAAAGCTATAGAAGGGATTTCTAGCAGAGCATTTCTCCAGCCAAAGCTGCATCCTGATGCCAACAGCTCGTAGCCTAATTCTGGCTGAGTCAGATGCTACCTACTGGGAGGAGGGAGTAAGGAGACACAAGGCTCTGATGTGCCAGTTTGTGTGTATCTGGGAGAAGAATATACCTGCTAATCCTAGCTTGCTTCTGTTAAATACATGCCTTCAGTGCTTACCTTAAAAGAGGTGTTTGGGTTATGGCATCTGGGATGAACTCAAAGTGAATTTGAGACCTGGATAACTGCTATGCATTCATAAACCAGACAGTAAACTGCATCTATAGCGTCCCCAAGACAGGGTCAGTGCTGAGTCTGCACATTCAGCTTGAGAGAGAAAGGTACCTGCAGTGGTAAGAGTAGGAGTGAGCTTTGAGTTAAATGGGTAACCATGCACCAATGACCTGGTGCTCAACAACTAACCAGTAATCCAAGGCAGAAAACCTCAGTATTAATTGATATTAACTGATACTAACTTCTGCATAAATCCCTTCTGGCTCCCTGAAGTCCTCTGGGAGGAGAGAAAAGGGTCACACAACTTCGATCTCCCCTAACTTACCTTAATGACACTGCTGCCATAGAGTATGCATTTACACACAGCTTACAGCTCCCTGTCTGACTGCCTGGCCCCGCCTGTCTGCTTCAGATCTAATAAAGGGAAACTAAAGAGAGATGCAACATGCCTTTAGTAGAAGCATGACCTTGAATCGAAAGAACAGAAAGCCAGGATGTGCGTTAATGCCCATGAAAAACCCCTCTCTGAAGGTCAGTACCCATCTTAGTGCAGCCATCCTATGCAGGAGGACCCTAAGGCACAGTAGAGCAAACACGGTGCAGAGCTGCTACACCCTGAGAGGGCTTCTCTTGCAGTGTTTCTATGCTGAACTGGCCATTTTAACCGCGTAGGGCTCTATCAGTCAGCATCTGCTTCTCCCAGCGAGGATGGAAGTGAACCCCTTCCTAATTTAGAGGTGGGACTTCCACAGCACAGTCAGTAACACACACTTTGACTGGCTCAGGGGAGGTGATTCCATCACGATTGTCGAGGCCGCTGCTGCCATCCCACAGGCCAGTGCTTCCTGCTGGACTCCTGAGATCTTTCCATTGGGATCACTGCCAGGCTCGCTGCCACTCATCATAGCACAGTCAGGTGGGCTCTGGCTTAGTCTTTTCAGTCTCAGCACTAAACACCCATCAGGGGCTTGCTTAGAACAATACTGAAACAGAGACTCTTAAACCAAAGCACCCGATGTAAGTGGCTCACAGAACATTCATGTTCCTATAGTTCCCGAGAGGATCCATTCCCGCTGCCTGGCATGCTCTGATCGCTGCAGCATGAGTCTCTCTGTGCCATAATACCTTATTCTAGATGTGCACACTGGCCAAATAATCTCCTCGTGTCTTGACTGAGATTATTTCCCGTCTAGCCAGACAGCATGGGCTTTCCTCAGCATGGTTACGTGCCATGCCCTCCTCTCCTACACACCTTCTGCAGTGCTTGCTATGGCTTTTCCCTCTCCCTTCACACCTTTGCTGCTGGACAATCATTCCCTGTGTCACAGATGGACTGACCTGGTGCTGTCCCTGCTCGCCTTCCCTTGCTACAGTCTGTATGCTCTTTAAGTGAATGTGGTTTATTTTTGTTCAGTAGGGAAAAGGACTTCCTTCTGCTGAAGGAATTATATTTGCACATGGCTCAGGGAGGTACCTCCTCTGGCCGTTTCTGTTACCTCACTCATTTAGGCCAATTCCATTGCTAATGTTCAATGGCCACCTTCCCCAACCCAAACTCCCAGAATAGTTAGGGAATAAAACTAATGTGCAGCTCAGGTCCTAGAGCCATTTGGTTGTGTCTCAGTTTCGGCCCCAGTCTGCCCCGGATGTGGGATTTGGGAGAGCGCCTGTTACGAAACAGCATCTTTATCCTGCAAAGAGGTGGAGCCTGTGCCACCCGCGCCTCGCTCCCCATCCTCACAAGCCCACCTCCATCGTGACAGCACTTAACGGAGCAGATACAGTAGCACTAACCTGGCTCTTGGTCGGGGCAGAGGGAGGAGCAGCAGAGCCATTGCAGCGTTACAAGGAGTGGCATCACGGGGCTGTGGCACCTCGGGGACTGTGACCGTGCTGGTGGCATCCTTCTCCCATCGCATGCTCCAGGGGCTGGGTAAAGCTGCTATAAACCTGGGAGCACGTTCTCCCCACCTGAGGCGCTGGATACCGCAACCCAACTACTGTGTGTAACTGCGACTTCACGGGGATCGCATCCCATCGGCACGGAACGAGGGGTACAATCACCCCTTATGGGGTTCCCCCTGAGCCCAGGAGGTGGGGGGCTGTTGGCTAGGGCCTGTAGCACTACGGTGAACTCTGGGGTGGGGGGGGGAACCCTGTGGTTTTGTTTTAGGAGTTGTCTAACTGTCATAAACTTTGCGCTGTGCGCAAGAACGCGGTAAAACGATAATGAAACTTACCTGCTAGAACCTAGGAGTTGTAAAGGCTGTGCAGCCAAACCTTAATGTAAAGTAGCTAGTACAATGGAAGTACAGTATAAATTAAAACAAAGTCTATCAAACAAGCGGTGTGACTCATGACTGCTTTGTTCTCTTTATTATCCTGCCTGTTCTGAAGTCTCTTCTGTCATTTCCAAGTACAGAAGGAGTCTTTTCAGACGCCAACCGGGACCATCTCGTCCAGCACCACCACCCCTGAAAAAATCACTTTTGTTCCTTTTTTGCCATATTTACACACCGTTTCCTCCTGCCTAGAACAACACAGGACAATATCTGTCTGCTGGAACTGGAAAAGTGAAAGATATGTCCAAGAAAAAGCATCTTAAGATGCGTGTAAGATACCGAAGGTGCAAGACTAGAGGATGGCCCTTCTTTACCACCTGAGGTAGCTCTCACCAAGTTCTTAGTTTACCCCTTGTTTCGAGTTCATATTATACCAGAGGGTTACCAATGCTTCAGGGGGCTGAGGAGCAGAGCTAAAGTGGGAGAGAGGTTACATGGCCTTACCTAAAAATCACCGCGGGCGTCAATGCTGTGGTCAGTGACAGATAATCCGGAGTTACCATCTAGTCCCTCCTCTGGTGCTGTGGGTTTTGAGTTAGGATTATGCCCAAAACGAAGACATGCAGCTGAACAAGGAGCTGCTTTTTCCTCCTTTAGGCTACTCGGTTCGAAGGAGCAAGTGTGCTGCCAGACTGCAAGTGTCTGGAGAACGTGCTCACGTTGCCAGACTCGGCTCTGGACTCGAGAGCGATCCTACAGCGGCGGCTGTGCTGTGGTGGCTTACTAAAGGTAACACCCGTTCCAAAAAAAGGAATTTTGAATGCCTGCCAGTTGGAAATCTGGCCCGGGCCTGACTTACAAACGGAGTAATTTCTGTGATTTCAGCAACACACAAAAAGCAGCAGAACAAAGCAGGGGAAATTCCATATGTGGGAAGCATGCCTGGATTCACAAGCACTTGGTAACTATTTAGAAGCGGTCAGTGTAGCAGAATTTGTCAACTCTTGCAAGCAGTAGAGGCTCCATTGCAGCAGGGATGTAACAACATCTAGATGCAAAAATAAACCTTCCCCATTTGGTCTTAAGGTACAATTCCACCCTGGCCAGTTTCTGCCTTATTCCCTCTTTGTGATCCTAGTTGTTGAGCTTGACTGATTACATCTGAGGCCAGAAACAGCCACTACAGCTGAAAAGGTCGGGTTGCATGGGAAACATTGACCATACAGTGGGAGTCCCGTGCAGCAGTGGATCACTCACAATGAATGCCAACTACTCAAACCAGTGACTGTCACAAGCAAGAAATACCATTAACTAGGAAAAAAATCAGCATGTGGTGCCTATTCCTCTAGGTGGTGCTGCACTATAGACTAAGGAGAGCATCAATTACTACCATTTCCTGTGAGGCCTGTGCATCCTATTGACTTTGCTTTGCCTACTTGCCTGTTGTCGCAGAACGTGGCTCTGCAGGTTATTCCTATCCCTGTGTCTCTGTGCACTTGAGGAATAAACCTGCTATGCAAGGCAAAAGGAAGGAACTAAGACTTTTTATGCTTGCTAAATGAAAAGGGGGGACACAGGGGATACTTATACTTACGTAGTACTGCTTCCTGAAGGAGGGGTACTTCAGGATCTACAGTCTCAGTTCCCTCCTCCAAGAGCAAGCATGAACAGGGCACAGGGGGACTCATTCTAACACCATCACAGTTCTCATCCTACCCTGCCTGTGCAAGGGCAGCCCAAAGTCCAGAGCAACTTGCCAAGCAACAACTACTAAATTAAATTCTTCCTGTTTTAACACCAATAAGACTGCTTGGGCTGTAAGACATGGTGGAACATCACCCTAAGATGACCTCATTCCCAGTCTCATAGGTCAGAGTATCATGACATACATACCCTTTATCTCTGCAATGGAGAACTAGCATAGTCAGCAAATAAAGGTGGTGGTGACAGCAGCTAAGAAATGACACTTGACATTTACAAAGCCATTAACGTGATGATGGAACAGAAACTTGGGAAGGAGCCGTGCTGCCCACACCCCTGTGCCCTTTGCTCAGCATGCTTCAAAAGAAGAGTCCTTTAGCAAATGGGCTGGCAGCTCAGAATGGAGTCATGAGGCCAAAGTCAAGGCTGTACAGAGTCCAAGGCAAATGGAAGAGAATTTACACTTCCCCATATCTCCTCCTGACGGCGCAGAGCTCCCTCTCAAACCTGGCTGGCATGATGCGGTCCTTCTGTCTTCAGAGCCCCTGCAATGGAGAGAATTCCTCCTGGACCACGAGTCACTTGACCTTCCAGAAGTGAGGATCATGATACAGTTAGCACGGTAACTAGCACGACTTTAAAAGATCTAGCTTTTGGTCTTTTCCCCACAAAGTCCTTCCTAGCAGGTGCTTCCATTGGAGATAGTGCTTTTACATGTCTCTTGAGCACAGCTCAGCATCCACAGGGGATAGTGACTATTCCCCGTTCAACAGGAATGGGCAAAAGAGGAGTAATTACACCATGGCCTGAAAGCAAACATGTTGGTTCAGGGTTTGAAGTAACACTAGTACACCCACCAACTAGATACTTGTATTGCTTCTAATGTCACTGGGGAAGCTCCAGGGAAGGAGCACAACCAGACTGCAGGAGTCTCCCATTCACCTTTTCTCCAGCCCCACACATGTGTAACCAGCTGTAGTAAGGCTGAAAGGTTGAGACACAAGCAGACTGCTTCCTCATCACCTACCTTGGTGCCGTTCATTCCGCTGACTCCTCTCTGCTATTCCTCCACAGGCACAGCACAGTTTTCCTTGTTTTCTGATGGGATCGCAAGATAGTCTGTCCTGTAGTTGGAGGGAAAGGGGAAAGCACAACCTCAGTGCTGCAGTGCAGACCACAGTGTGGGTCCATCCACCCTTACAGAGTTACTGAATGCCTGTAAGTATTTCTAAGGTAACAAATGCCACCTGCAGGAGATGCTCACAGTAAGAAACTCTTTGGTACAGTCAGGAGCAGACATAGATCTCACACTTACGCATTTTCTTGGGCAGCTTCCTCTGCCTTGGAGACTTTCCTGTAGCAATAGACCATCTCTATCAGCAGCCACAGGGTCAGGAAGACCAGCAGAATATACATCATAATTTCAGAGATGACCGAGGTGAAGTCTTCTCCAGCTGTTAGGAAAATGAAATAATCTCTGATCAGTTACATGCAGTGATTGGAGCACGCCAGCTCCACTGACAATTCCCACCCTCGTGCCATCCTTCCCAACCCACCTTAACAGAACTACCCAGCTGCCACTACACTATGAGGGGGCAAAAGAGAGGGAACAGGCAAGATCCTGCCATCAGAACACACCAGCAGTGATCCCGCTGCTTGTTTCCAGTGGAATCAAACACCCACACAAAGGCATCCTTGTAACTTCCCACATTCACACACAACCACCCTGAGCCTACAAAGAGGCTGCAGGCGGCAAACAAACGCAGGTCTCTCCTTCTGAACCCTGTGCAGTGTTTGTTGCTGCAAAGACAGGCACAATTCTCAGTCATCCCTCTCCTACAACACAATGAAAAGCGCTATCCCTGGGTAGAAGTAAGCCTGATGAGTTAAGGCACAACGCTTCGTACCCTCCTCCACCACAGTGAGGTGGATCAGTCTGGAGCTTGTGAAGAGAGGCCGGTGAATCTCAAACTCAAACTCCCGGGTGATGTTACAGGTGTAGATACCCGAATCGTTCAAGGTCACGTTCAACACAGTGATGGAGACGTCCTGCATGTCTTTACTCCCATTCCACTGCAACCGGCCACTGAAGCGGCTTGGAAACTCATGGTTGGTTTTCCTGTACTCGTAGATCTGTGGGGAAAGGGTATTTCTGATTAATCACTGACTCGTATCTCGGACAACAGCGCAGCATATGCAAGGAACATCACCACCCTCGAGCTACACACATGTACGTTCTGGGCTAAGGCTTCCTTGGTAACAGCAGCTATTCATATTTCATCATCCTTTTCCTCAAAACCTTTGCAGAAGACAGAAACCTGAATTAACTCCATCACAGAGGTATTAAAAATAAGGCAGAGAAAAAGTCACGTGGACAACGCAAAAGATCGGCAATGAAACTAAAACCAAAGCAGTCTTTGTGCCAGCCTGTCAGTCATTGCACATTAAGATCATCTTAAGAAGGAACCATGGAATAAATACAGCGAACACAAACAGACATTTTTGGTAAGCCCTGAGGTATTCAGCTGAAATGGAAGTGATGCAGGATGAAAATGACAACGCGGAAATGGTGCATCAGAAGAATGGAGCTTTGGTAGCTCTAATACCTTCCAAGTTTTGGACTGACCACAGCCCCATCATTTCCCTGCCCACCTTAGCTCACTTTCATTGGTATTCCTTGTATTTCCACTGGCAAATATATCACCCAGGTCACTAAAAGTGGATTCTGATCTCGTTTCTCAGTGTGGTCCCTTTAGCTCTCAGGCCGTAGGAGGGTACCTGCCTTCTTGCCTGGCCCAGCTCAACTGTGATGAAATGCAACCCTTGATCTAATGCTTCGTACTCAGGTAAAATAGCTAGAAAGAAACATGCACTCAGCCTTTATCTTACTCTCCATTTGCCATTCCTTCCTGCATTCCAGCTGTTTGTCTCTACAGTTCCCACTTTGATTCCCTCTGAAAACGGATTTTACCTTTTCCTAACAGGGACCCACCAAACCAACTCACACAGATCCTCCCCAGGTGAGGATACCACTGCTTTCTGAAGCAAAAAAGTGAATCCTGTCCTGCACATTTATCAGAGTTCAATTTAACCTCCAAAGAATAGCTTTAGGATTCAGAAGCATCCTAAGAAGGGAGATATAGCCAAGGGTATACTCCATACTTCTATTTCCCTAATTGATTTCCTTACACGCTTGACTTCATCTATTCAAGGGATAGAACTGGAAATTTGCATTCATATATGTATGACCCCAAATGTTTGAACTCAACCACAGATTCTAGCTTTTCCTGTCATATAGAACCCTCTGGTGTCACAGTGCTGTGCCCAAGAGCGGAAATCAGCTAAGCAAGAAAAGGACACTATAGTTACTGCTCAGAATCAGTGCTGTGGAACTTCTGGTTGAGAATGCTGCAGAAATAGTGAAGATCTGCAGCTAAGAGCTGATTTACAAGCTCATTTCTCCTCTATGATATGAAAGCAGCCTTGCTGGGCATTTCTATCGGCTTTGAGTAAAAGCTTTTGCTCATATTTGGGTCTCCCTCCTTCCCCTTACAGCCTTCCCTAGGGATCTTGCCACAGGAGAAACTTACACTCTCATAAATACCTTTTGGCTTCTCCCACATGAGTTCCCTGGGCTGTGTTTCACAGTAAGACCTACGACACAAGGGCTCAGCTACCAGGCATACATACAGGTTCATCCTTTCCACCCTCCGGCCTGTAGAACCATTCCACCACCGTGCTGGCTGTGACCTCTTCCCTCTTCATGCAGGAGATGCAGAGCAGCTTCATGTGTGTTCCTTGGACTGCCTCTGTCTCTGATGGAACTTCAACACATACTGCAGAACAAAAACCGGCTAGGGAGAAGGAGCAGCAAGAGAAGAAGTGTAAGATGGAGTTAAAGAGACATCTGTTACCCACACCTCAGCATCGCATCATCCCCAGTGGCAAACGGATTCATTACTAACTGTGTCTGACAACGGGTAAGTCTCAAATGTCAATTTTTACCAACCTTCCTTTTCTGAGATATAAATAATTCATAATAATTAACAGAGGGTGATCACTTCATGCAGATTCACCCCTCCAGCATCTGCTTTGCCACAACTTTAATCCTTCCCATAGTAATTAATGCCACTTTGGAGGCATTGTTGCTTCTCTCCATGCATGCTGAGCATGCTCCTGCTCCAGCAGCAATTACAGTCTGGTAGGAGAGAAAGCCCAGAATTGAAGTGTGGAGGGACAGCTTGCTCACTGTGCTCAGTGAAACGGGCTGGATGTTTTCATCTGGCAATGTGGGAGCATTCTAGGTTTCATAAGCAGCACAGGGGATCGAGGGGCTCGGACCTGAGTAAAGGTGGCAGCAGGAGGAGTTACTGGTTTTACACACATTCCTGCTCAAATGCTTCCAATGAGATCTGTGCCCACACTGGCAACTGTACATACTGCTCACACTGAGACAGAAATCGTTGTCTGTGGAGCTACTTGATAAGAAAAGAAATGCTTCAGCACCATGTCTCAGACTAAATCCCTGCTGACAGTTGTCCCCTAGGCTAAATAATACTGGGTTCTGCTGTCCAATCCTGCCTCTGGAGCCCGGAGTTAAGCTCACTGAGGTGCTGACTTTGCTGCCTGCTCCCTCCTCCCCAGCTCTGAGATACCATTAACCCTGTCTCAAGCACCGTATTATCTCAGGACATAGCGGGATTCCAATTCTCCTGGACTACCAGTTCCGTGGGTAGCACCAGCTTTCTAGGAGAACTAAGGAAGCAGCTCCTGGATCGTGCTTTGCTCCGGTTAAATTAGCTTTGCACTCAGAGCTAAGCACCCACACATGGAGCTGTAGGTTACGTGCTCATCAGATGTGGCTGTACTGCCAAAACCAACCTTCTCCTGCTTGCAGAACAACTGTGATCGCAATAAACTGATTTACTCCAGCTCACACTGCATGGAAAACGAGCACTGCCCCACAGATTACACACCCTGGGGTAACCAAACATTAAATTACATTGCAAATTTCACAACAGCAGCAGAAAGGCAACGGGAAAGAACTTGCACGCATATTAAAGCACACGCTTCATGCCCTGTGTCTGCTAGGCAGTAATGCATCTTCTCCGCTCGCACTAACTCCATTACATTCACGCCAACTCCGCATGAATCCCTACGGTAAATACAAAAAGCCACTTAGAAGGTTGGCGTTACGAGAAGCGGCACCCTACCAGAGAGCACAGAACGAAAGCACCTACCCCAGACCACCAACACGACCGAGGAGGCACGGAGCAGCCTGGGCAGCGCAGCCATTGTTCCCATCAGGGCAGAGGCTCCCTCGGAAGCCGCGGCTCCTCCGCTCCCAGCCGTGGCCCCGGCGCAACAGGATGCGGGCGGCGGCGGCAGCACCACGGACAGGGCCGTGCCGCGGGCAGAGCCGCAGCCGGGCCCGGGGCGGAGCCGCGGAGCAGCGGCAGCGGCAGCAGCAGGTGGCGGCGGCTCCTTCGCACCGCGACGGCTGCGCGGAGCCCCTGAGCCCGGGCGGGGGGCACGGCCCGCCGCGGGCATGCGCGGCCGCCGCCTCCTTCCCTCCCTCCGCCCGGCCCAGCAGCCCCTCCGAGGGCATCCTCCGGCTTGGGAGCGGGGGTCGCGGACGAGCCTCGGGCTCGGGTGGGTTTAACGCCGCGCTGAAGGTCACAACAGCGGGAAATCCTCTCTCCTCTTGCTCCTGGCTGAGTTTAATGCCAGCGCCAGGATGGGCTTTCTCTTCCTGGCATAGGGCCGCTGTGCTGCTCCAACTTTGAAGGTCACTGTGGACATAGAGGGGAAAACAAAGCGCGCCCTCCTCCTAAAGCATCTGCTCTGATGGCAGCTTGACAAACAGCCCAATCTATTGAATTAAACCTGAGCAGCCTCATCAGAGAGCGACACGTGAGCAAGCGGCAGTGCCAAAACTCGGAGAGCAGATGGAGAGACCCACCCAAACAAGAGGAACTCGGAGCCATCAGCTCTGGCCGCACGGCTGCGGGCGGTGGGCTCTGCCTTGGTGCTAAGGGCACACACAGCCATGCTGGTCCCGACGAACACTGCTGAAGTGCAGCAGGCACAGAACAAAGGCAGCCAACGCTATTCCTAGACATCATGTTCGTAGCAGCAAAGCTGCATTCATCATCTGCCAATAACCACACACACAGCAACTGCCTCCACCTCGCCATGTATAGCCTACTGTGACAACTCCAAGCAATTCCCAGCTAAGGGCAACTTCCCAGGTCCTTGTTCTGCTTCATTTTACTGACTGGGCAGGTTACTCTGCCCTGTTCTGAGGTCCAACCCCAGCCCGCTCTGCTGCTATTCAAAGGAAATACCCATTTAATGTGTCTCCAGTGACAGCTTGAGAGTTGGTGGCTTGCAGATGCCAGCAACGCTCTTCCAATTCTCAGCTTAGGAGCCATCCATCACAAATATCCATGTCTTTAAGTCTGACTTTCCTCCACAGGAAGACAAATTGGCAGCCGCGGTACCCAGAGACAAGGGAAGGATGTAGCCTCCTACCTGAAGCCATTTCCTTTTCTCCCACTGCCCCTTGCTATATTCACCACAAAGGCTGAGGCACAGGATTTACTCCCAACTCTTCTGGAACAATCCAGCCCATGCATGGTGAATGAGAGCTGCTGGAGGGTTTTATATAGACACAGGAGCTACTGGACAATGTCCCCGGCTATCTCACTTGACAACCAGCTCTTTCAGGACATGGAAATCACATCTGTCCTCAGGAAGCCAAGAAAACAGAGCCCGGATCAGCAGAGCTGTGCTGTTCGTGCTACAGCTGCTCTAATTACATCTATTACAGAGAATCCTGCCAGGGAGAGAGGGGCTCTGAGAGGATTAAAAGGAAGCAGAAGCCTTTTCCTCCTCTAATCCCAGGCACTCCAGCACTCACCTGCCAACCAATGCAAATCACAGCGACAATCATCCTAAACCAGCAGGAAGTTGTCCCTCAGAACCGCTCATGTGCAGACCTCAAGCACTTCACGTTAGAAACAGTGTTTGAGCTGCTGTTTAAAGAAGGGAAACCGGGCTCAGAGGTGAAGAAAATGGGTTTGGGTTTAGGTGGACTGTAACAGCAAAAGCCACAGGTCAGGAAGCAAACGGAAATCACATCCTCTCTCTCAGCTCTGGAGAAGCTGAGTCTTCATGCTGCATGTTTCATGTACTACAGACCAAACCAAAGGTGATTTAACTTGCAGTCACTCCAGAATCTGTGTTGGGTTTTAATGAGAACTTCTCTGGACTTATTCAGGGGCACTGTATGGGTTTGGAATGAAAGGATAAGATACTTTCATTCTTGCTATAACGTGGGCTAAGCTGGGAACCATTCCAACGTCTCCATGTGCCCATTTTCAACAGGCAGCAAACACTGCCCCGCCGTCCTGAGGAAAACTTGCAATAAACGGGATGCCACGTGGGAAGCCTGTGTCAATTTTCAGCCTTGTGTGCTGTGAAGGAGATGGAGAGAACATATTCCTTCAAGCTAAGGCTGTGCAACGTTCTCCTTCATGCTCCAGCACAGCCCTCATGCCTCAAGTGACCAGGCTGGAGGATGGGCACAATGCTCGGGGTGCAGGATGCTTGGCACACCGTGAAGTGCGAAACCATTTTGACACTCAGGGGACTGAACACTGAGAGAGAAATCTTGAACGCTGCAAGGAGCAGCCGAAGTTATCATGCAGGGGTTGCTATGGCAACCCACCCAGTTAAGCCTCACAGGGAAGAGACTGGGAGGAAAAAAGGGAAAGGAAAAGAAAAAAGGCTGGTACTTTTGTACAGGCACAACAGGACAAGGAGGTAAAAATAACTTCAGCACCCTGCCCCTGCTAATCCTCACTCTTACGGTCCCTGAGCCAGGCTATGGGAGGGGACCACAAAGCCTCCCTGTGACAGCTTCCTCTGCCATCCACAGTCGTATCAGCTCACGTCTGTGCAAACACCCTCTTTACTGTGCTGCTGAACACCAGCAAAGCTTGTTCCTTGCACAGCAAGGAGCCAACTTATACCCAGCCCTGTGTCAACTGCTCCTACACATCCATCCCAACATCAAGACCACCAGAGCTGTGCAACAGCCAAGGAAGAGTGGTGCAAGCCCCTGATGCACAAGTGCTAGATGTAAAAGCAGGGAAATGAAGTGAGCGCCCTTTACACTGCTGTTCCCACGGAGCAGCCTCTGCCTGGTACAGGACCAGGAACGATTTGCAGGGGAGTCCTGCAGGATAATGTATACCAATGTTAAAATGATTAATTTAATAGATGTAGGCATCCTTCCCACTCACAGAAATCTTCAGCAAGGCAAGGCTTCCCTAGCTGCCTTTACAGGGTGCCTGTAGGTTACAAAAGCTCATTCACAGCTTTCCTTTTTTCCCCACTCAAGTTTTAAAATGCATCTCCACGTACTTGCCGTCACCTGGATCCTCATCATAATGTCCTCTAAAGTACAGAGAATCCAGCTATGCTCTTCACATCTTCGCATCTGCAGGGTGGCATTTTCCAGCTGATTTCCCAATGCTGTGACCAGACCTCCAGTCCTGAGGTGCACCTACCCCCAGTTGCATGCCCTGTCCCCCCCATACTCAAGAAAGCAGATCCCCAGTGATGCTCTTAGGATGCAAGTACCCCGAGTGACCACACAAATGCCTGCCTGCAATTGTGCTGCATCATTTTGAGCCAGATCTATTTCCCTGTGCAGTGGAGAGGGGGTCTCCATATGCATCCCACTATGGCTCCTGAAAGCTGTGCTCCATACTGAGCTCTTGTTTTCTGTCACAGACATGCTGCATGACCTCTTACCACTTGGATTACTGCTGCTACCTAAGCTTGGCTTAGCTTCTTCCTTCGTGCCTGTGGAAGAGGCCAACTGATTCTGTTCTGATGGGCAACAGACCCTTTAACACTGGCTGCTCTCCCTGTATGCTTTCACTGAGGACCCACAAGGCACGGGCCCTTTGCCATCCTTACCTCCCAGAGAAAACACAGGCTGTTCAACGTGCCTCTGTCTCTTCTTGGCTCTGAGAACCGTTTTCCTTTCAGGACTGAGGGCTGGATATTAGAACAAGATATTGAATTGGATATGTGAATAAGAGCTGCCTTGCCAAGCAGGCTGCCTGAGCTGCCTGTGAGCCTTTCCTGCTTTCCACAGCAATGCTCCCTGTCAGAGAAAGGCTTCCTCAAACAGAGGAGTTCTGCCCAAGCCAAAGCCTGCACATGCACAGAGGGCTGGGGTCCTGGATCCCTTTGCGCAGCTGATGTGCTCCAGAGTCTGGGCTGCAGGTTCTCCCCTCTACACCCAAGAAACACACTGAGCTACATTCCTGCACGCTGCTAACGCTCTGTGGTCAGTAACTAAACACCCACATTTTTCAGACCATTAATACAGGCCATGTTCAGAGGCATGCTATTGTGTACATCCTGGAAATATTAAGCCCTGGTGTTGGTCCAGGTACTTTTGGAGTATTGTTTTCCTGTTTCAATGCCAATGAAATCAAGCAGCACACGTGCACACAGGCCAGCCTTTGTGTGCTGTAACTGAAGTGCTGTTTTACCAAGCTGGAGTCTAATGAGGTGGCACTTTCACAGACGTGCTTTTAGGCCTCTCCTCAGCCCATTCACTTTAGCAGGGGATGAAAACCCATTAGCGTGTCGGACTGCCACGCATATTCATTCACATTTGCTCATTTAATTTCTGAATTGTTGCTGCTAGTAAAACACATAAAGGCATCAATTATTTTAGCACCATGCCGTGATTGCATTTCAGTAAAGAAAAGCTTGTTCAGCAAGTGGTACTGTCTTACCTTGGCTGAAGAGGTAGCTTCTGCTTGGCTGCTTTAATAGCAGACAAGGCTGAATCTCCTCCCAGCTGTCAATAAGCATGGACAGACACCTTTAAGTTAATATCCAAATCCCCCACAAGGCAGCTCTGGGCTGCTGCTCAAATGTGGTTTGTTTTCACTGGCATCCAGGAAATACAAAGGATTCCGAGAGACTCTTTTTGTACTGGAAATGTTGGGTCAGGTATACTTCTTGTCTTGCAGAATCAAATCTCCCCTTGTGGAAGGGAAACTCATTTGGGCTTTGGCTACGTTCTGCACCTGCTGTTTGTGGGGTTTCAACTTTCTCTTCATAGTAGCACAATTGACATCAGTTTTCCTCTAAACCAACAAGCATATATGTAAAACAAGGGAAGGAGAAGCAGTTTTTCCACCTGCTATACAACCGAATTAAAAGGTCTTTTGTCTTCCAACAGTGGGGAACACCTCCCTGCTCAGATTCAAAGGTGCTGTGTGCAATAGCAGAAGTTACACAGAGCTTTGAATCTGTAAACTATCACTTTCTCCTTCGAGCCCACTATTTCTCAATCGCACTTTAGCATCTAAGCAGGCATCTTCTGCTGTCGGGTACTCTGCAGCAGTTTGCTGGCTTTTAGTTGTTGGTTCATAAACGTTAAACAAAGAAACAACCAGAATAAACCCAACCCAATTTAGGGCAATGGTAGGTTTCCATCCAGAGGCCAAATAGTGTGTGGGAAAGGAGAGATCCCTGGGTGGGGGCAATGAGGGAAAGAGAACACTTATGCATGCACATGTATGCGTGCGTACATGTTATGCATGTATGTGTGTGTTGCAGGCAGGAGGTGGAACATGCCTGGTGCTGTGCAACCCTAGAACACTCTGGCACCAATCCTGCCAAGCCAGCAGATAGCGCTGTCCCCTCTGCAGCGCACACACTGCCGAGCTCCTCTGCTCCTATAAGCAGCTCAGGCAACACCGATCGTAGAGCTAGAGAAACGGTGCCCCTGTTGGCGTTCCCCACGTCTTTCTAGCTGCAGCCACTTGTCATCTGTGTTATTACCGTTGTTATTCACCATCACAGACAAGATGATGGACAAAGAGCTCAGTGTAGCCTTTCTGTGCCATGATTTAGTGGCCAGAAGTGCTTCAGTGTCCCAGCCAGTGACTGAAGTGATTTCCCTCTAATTTATCTACAAATAGATGATGTGTCTGCATCGCTTACACCTTTTCTCCCTGTTACTGTGAAACTCTACAGAAGTACATCACTTCTCTTAGCGAACAGGGGTACCAATCTACATTAAGGTCACGCATGGTGACCAGCTGCAATACTTAATACTTTGTGTGCAAGTGCAGATACTCCCCTTCCACCCCAAAGATCTAAAGTTCCCCATTTAGCAAAAGCATGAAAAAACAGGATAATTCTTTCGTTGGTGCCTGTCGAATTCTCAAAGCATTCAGCCATAAAGGACTTAAGTGATGGACCAGCTCAATATGGGCTTCAGAAGTAGATTTCTGTGACACAACAAAAGTCAGAGGGATGCAGAAATTCCTCTCCAGGTTTACACTGAGCAGAGAGGACACTACACAGTCATAGAATTTATTGCACGCAGTAACCATTTAGAGTGGGTCAGTGCTTTTCCCAAGAAACTCCAGACTATGTAAAGCACTGGCTATCAGTAAAACACCCAATGCTCTGAGAAGGATGAAGCCATAACTGTTGATAACAGGTACAGATTTCAGTGTGTTCCTGCCAGACATCAACAAGTTAAGATAAATCAAGAAATCAGAAAGTCCATGAGATCAGACAAGCTGGAAGGCAAAGGGAATAACTCAATTGCACCAGCAGAACAGAGCATAACTAAAGCAACCTTAGCTCCCGAGCCAGCAGACAGTATAGCCAGCTGTCTGAGTCACGTAATTGCTTGAAGGTCACAGAGGCTGCTTATTTCAAGGTCAGCTGAAACCAGGTCATCAGCTCAAGTCTGTGTTCGGGCAAGGACTAAAGATTTGGGTAAACTGCAAGCAGTGTATGGAGGATTAATGAAGAGGAATCCTTGGTCCTAATGGTCAGGTGTCATTATCACCTGCCCACCCTCAAACCTAAGCAAAACCAAACTCTTTTTGGATGGGACTTACTCTGGGGATAGAAACGGTTTCCTTCTAGCACTGGAGATGGGGCTGTCCAACTCTAGAACAAGGGACACTGTTGATGCTCACTCCTCAGTCCCTCTTACACATGCAGAAATACACAATCTTGGCACAATGTCTCCAGAAGGCCATTATTATAACTACTGCTTCCTATTAAAACCGGCATTTTTTATTACTCGTACGTGAGAGAAGCTTGCTGTTCTGAAGAGGATTAAGTTTTATCTGCAACTTGTGGAACATTTTCCTTATTGCTATTCTTATGAACACATTTGCATAATCAACACAGAGAAGCACTTGGACTATAATCTCTTTTTCTTTCATATCTTTTACAGATTCAGCATCATAGGAACTTTGTCCAGCCGCAGTTATCCAGTGGTAACAACTGCTTTTTGATAAGGTATTGTGCTGATAGTATGAGAGCGGATACTGTGCAAAGGAACACCATGCACATCTATTCCACTTCAAAAGACATACATATATCCCTCTATATAAAAGTGATTATGTTGGAATCTTACATGGCCACAAATGCCCAGTAAGAAAGAGGTGAAAGGCTACTTCTGTGACCCATTAAGCAGAGGCACGATCATTTCCATTCCAATGGTACTACACATGGTCACCGGCCCCTAAGAGTGCATGAGTTATCAAATTCTGATCATTCATGCTCTCAGGATGCTCGCAGCAGTTAGTTAATGGGATGCAATGCAAACAGTCCTTGAGTAAAAACATCTTTGGAAGTACCATTTTCATTCTAAAACCCCAAGACATTATATAGCATCAAGGCTGTCTATGAACAAAGCCTTTGGAGGAGACAAAATTAACTTCTATAAAATCCATAAGCTTTATGCCAGAAATGTCACTGTATTAAACCCCAAGCTGTGCACTATATAACAGAGCCCTGACAGACGTTCTCACTTAAACATATTCCATTTGCCTGGCAAGGATTATGTTCTCATCTCTTGCATATAACTGTTCTCCCTGCTCCCAGACAGCCGTGGTGCAAGATGCTCAGTGGGGTTTGCATTGCTGACTACAGAGGGCAACTCCCTGTGCTCTGACAGTAGTCTTTCCTCCTCCTACACCCATCCTGATGCAAACCACACAAGGAATGACACTTCCAAACAAAGATGTTTGTTCTATAAATAGGCTTCTTCTCGTACACCACAGACATCACCACCCTTTCCCAGCATCTAGGAGCAGCAACACAAGTAAATATCAACACTGGTTGATCTTGTAAGAAAGGAAGAAATAAAGCACATCAGTGAGATGCACTGATGGCAAAAGCATGAAGATATTTCACACAACCTCAACAGAAGACGGAAGTTTGTTTCAATTTAGGAAGAAATGTGCTCCTAAGCTGTAATAGAGTATTAAGTATGATTTTTTCTTTTCCTAAGTACTGTGGGATCCATAACTGCAGAATTGAAATGTAGAATTAGAAAGACCAGTAGGGTCAGTTCTGCACCCGCTTCTGATTTCAGTGGGTACTGCAGACATGTGCATTCGTAAACCAAAGTCTTTTACCATCCAGTTCCTGTGAAATCCTCCCTGCCATGAGGAAGAGCAGAAACAGGGGTAGATCAAGGTGAAGTGCTTTGCTCAAGGCCACAGATTACAACTGGGGTTGAGGTGAGGGCTCTTAACTTCCTGCTTCCTGTTTTAATGACCAGGTTACAGAGCCTCCGCCCCACCACTGACCCCCATAACTTCATTGCTGTCCCATGATGACACATGGCCTTGCCTGGCAATAGCAGCCCTTCTCCTTCCCTGTGCATCTTGCTCAGCAAAAACTTCTCACCCCATTTCCCTTTCTAGGCAAAGCTTTACAGTCTGTTCTTTTCCATATCTTGTCTCACACTCTTGGAACATTCAGGTGCCAATACCCAAACAGGAACCATTTAGTTCCTTAAGTACTGAAAGCCTTTGCCCTTGTGTTTTCAACTGACTGAAATCCACTCATAAAATCAGCTTTCCTCTCGGTCATAGCTCAGAATTAAATACTTCATGTTTTTTCCCTCCCTTTCCCATACATTTGTCCTTCCTGGGGTATTGTCATTTGAATTTAATGACTGGCAAGCTATTAAATATTGAAAGAGCTACAGTTCTCTATAAACAGGTTCCATGTTCTGCTGATTTACTGGTTTGAGAGACATTCATGCCTCACGCTCAGAAACAAGCATGAAATGGGAGCATCCCTTAACAGAAGTCTGGCAATCCATGGCACAATTCCAAATGCAGGCTTAGATTGATAAGGAAGATCTAATGCACTCAGGAGTATTTCTAGCAGCATATAGATTTTCCTGTGTGTTATTTTAGTTTCAAAGCCAAAATGCTGGCTTGGAAGGTTCAAGTCTTCTGATTACATTTAGAAAATACAATGCAAACTCCCTGCTGTGAGAAGGAGCTTTCTCCTTGACTTGTTCTACTTGTGATCAGAGCATTGGCATTGCCACCAAAGGGATCGACTCATGCTAAGAGTGACAGCATTTCCTAGCCCCATGGAAACACTACCACAGGGAATAAAAGAGCTCACAGCTCACTTGGAGGAGGCAATGCAAACAGGCCTCAGACAGCATCCCTTTTCTGGCCCAGTCTACTCATGCACAACTCATGCTTGGCAGCGGAAAGCACTACCTCCATCTATCCAAGCAGGTTGTTCACGACAGCACAGAAAGTGGCTGGATGCACTAAACAGCAGACCCCAATACTCACCTCAGCAACAAGAAAGGAATCTTGGGAAAGGAGATGTTTTGCTGCCTGTGTCCTGCTCTAATGAGGCCAACCCAGCCTTGGTTTCGACTCGACTTTCCTACTGCAACCAGAACAAGGCTTCCCAGCCCTCGCCTGAAGCGGTCTAGAGCGTAGTTCACATGTGCTAGAGGTTCTTGTTTTCTGGTGGAGCTCTCGGAAGTGGGAAGGAAGCAGCAGTCCCATTACCAGCTGGTTGCTGCTAAGTGTTTTGTCACCCACTTCTCTCACATGGCTTAGAATACTTTCCATAAGGAGGCTGGCAAGTACAAGCTGGCAAATAGTGCTGAAATGGGGCACGTGGTCCTGATGAGCACTAAGATAGAGATGGCAGAAAACTCTGTCAGTTAGGAATTCAGATGTATAAAGTATGTATGGGCATCACTTTTCATCCTTTCAGTTCTGCAGGGAAAGTAATAACTTGCCTTTTCTTCCAGCAGATTCTCAACGGGCATCCCCCCAATGCCACCATTTGATTCTCTTTCCCTCTAAAGCTCTGCCAAGCCCCATTTACCATCCCTCTTTAGCCACCTGATTTTCCCATTCCGTGCTCTGTCTTGCTGCTTGCAGGCAGGTTTTGTCCAAGCCCTGAACTTGCAGCTAACCTCTTTACCCTTGGCCTGTAACAACCTGCTCAACCCACCACTTTATTCAGATCTAGGCATGTTGTTCAGAATCAGTAGGAGACAAATTAGTTGTATAGGAACTATAGATGTAGGTATGACAAGATTTATAGCACAGAGACAGTGACCAGACTGTGGAGCATGCATACACAGGAGATTTCCCTAAGGCAGCAGACTACTCATAGGGCAGCAAACACCTCAGAAGCGGGTTTCCAGGAGGAAGGATAGCGAGACACTGAGAAGCATGTGGCAAAGAATCAAGCAGGGAGTTAAAAAGCGATGAGGTGGAATGATGGTCTGGGACGTGCTCCAAGGCAGTGTCCTGACATGCCCCGTGTTACAGAAGTCTCTACTGGAAATCAATGTCCAAATCTCATCTCGCTCCTCAGGAAATAGTCTCAGAAAAAGCACATTTTAGGAAGGAATCAGCAACAGAGCCCTATGTAAAGGCTTTGCTGCCACAGCCCTGAGCACAGTCACAACCTCAGTTCAGATGCTGGGAGTCCTGATAAGCCTCGGGGAAGGAATGATGCCATTTAGCTTTCCCAGACACGCACAGCCTGGGAGGCCAAGCTTTGCTGTTTATCAGCTTATAATGCAGAAACAGAAAGTAGGTCAGCAAGCATGGCATCTCAAAAACGAAGAGAACTACCTCCCAGCCCCTTCTTCCACGGTGGTTTTGGTTCGTGTGTGTAGGTCTATGTGAGCCATATACGCAGAGCTGATTTTGAGAATGAAAACCAGAGAAACTGCTAGAGCCCAAGGCTGAAGGAGGCTCCCCCAGACTAAGCCAAGCAGCAGTGCAAGTAATTCAGCACTCAGACAAGAAAGATATTCACACCTAACCTCCTGAGGGCCCCAGGCAGAGGCATTTTACCAGCTTTAGGTGCTGTAACTGCATCAAAAAATCAACTCAACACAGAGCGAAGCAGTGATTATAACATCAGATTTAGCACAGGCACACACAGCTTTAAGCTATTCTTCCTGAGTGTCCTACATAAGAAACCCAAACAAATTAAGGGATGAGTAATGAAAAGGTAGGAGGTGGCAAGGCTTGTTTTGGTTCAGGAAAGGATTCCCATCCCTTGCTTGGAATCTAAATTAGATTCAATCTAGATTAGAGTGAGGCAAGGCCAAATTCCCTTGATGAATGACTTGCTGCAGTAGATCACTTGTATTTTGCAGCCATTCTTCAATAAATTCATTTTTCATCTCCTGCTTCCACTTTTGTTTCTGATCTTGTCACCTTCAGGCCATGCCCTCCCCTGTTCCCCTGGGTTAGGATACCCCTTATTATCTGCCTCAGTAAGGAAAGAACTAATCTGTTGTCTAGTTAAGAGAGAGAATGTGTTCTTGGCCTGATAAGTGGATTATCTCCATAAACATGCTTTCTAATGCAGCAACAGCCCTCACTCTCACAAAACCAAAGGAATTAACGGCAACAATGATGTGACATGCACTAGTGAAAGCTCCTTCTCCTGCCCAAGATGACAGTATTACAGCCAGGCTTCTTGCTAAAAGAAAAAGCCATGACAAATGCATATAATATCAGAAGATCCACATGCACACTTATGGTGATTGCACAAGAGTCTGTGTCCCCCTCATAGACTTTGTATGGTCACAGCACTCTCCAAGGTAGATCGACAACAGCAAAGCAGCATGTTTTACACAGGCAGCACTGCCATGGTACTGGTGATCACATCACACGGTTTCAAAGGTTCAGAACCCACCTTCAGATTGTAAATAACTGTTGACAGGCCAGTATGTATTGTACAGCATCAACAGAGCACTGTACAAAGCAAAACCTCCAGCTAAAGTGTTTAATAGTCTAGAAACATGGAAATAGAAACAATTACAGGGGAGCAGTGCACGGAACAGCACAGAAGGATGGGAGCAGCACCAGCCATAGAGGAAGGGGAGTCCATCTACCTCCAGCAAGCGGGCAATGTTCACTACCTGGTGGGCTTGCTGCAGTGTAGGCTTGTGATTTTTACTCTCCTGATTCTCTCTATGCCACAGGTTATGATTTGAGACATCAGCGCTGTCAGCTAAGTCATTGGGTCCCTGCTATCTCCCTCTCAGGAGGAATCAAGACCATATAGCAACTTAAAATAGATACTCAGTTCCTCCCTGGACTGAAACTCTTTAGCCTCTGACTCATCTCCATGAGGAAGACAAGCATATGTAAATCATATGTTGATCCAGGGCAATGCACCTGATAGACCTTTATGTGCCACCTGCTTAAGGGATTATTTTCATACTTATCAAGCACTGATAGTTTGTTCTTCCTGGGTAATGGGGTTTGTGTAAACCACTGATACGTTCTGAAGGAAGCTGGAGTGCTGAACAGCACCTGTAGGACTTAAAAGCACTACCTACATTAAAGCAAATGGGAATTGGGTTGATTCACCCAGAAACTCTGATCAGACACTTCTCTCATGCACTGAACATGTTAGTAGTGCTGCTCCGACATACACCAAAGGGGAACTGGCCTTCAGAATTAGCTGGCCAACAGTATGTCCAGATACTGGGTAAGACACTTTATTTCCGGCTGACAAAGGACATGTCCTACCAGATTAAAGCTTTTTTTGCAAGGGCACGATCATACAAGTTATCACAAAGGCACATAAGGCAGCTAATAACAAACAGGGATGTGTCCGAAGGCACATAGTGTTTTGGTCAGGAGATACGAGAAATGACCATCAGCACCTTCAAATCACCATGAGAAACAGACTTACCCTGTTGTTATACTGGGTTTCATAGAACCTATGGAGAAAGACAAAACCTTAAGGGACCATTCAGAGCAGGAGACTGAACCCAGGAGGTCAAATCACTGCTTAGAGGGAAAACCTGCAGTGGCAGGCTCTCACTGTGACTTCCACAGTTAAGTGACTAAGGTAGCTGAGATGGTTGTGATGGGGAGAGGGCATAAGCAAGGAAGTTACCTGGGGATAATAGAGCTTTCTGCTGGGCTTGCAGTTTCCTCTGATGGATCATAGTGTAACTGCTTTATTTCACTCAAATAGTTGCAAAGGAAGCTGGACTAATTTTTGCCTCTTCCTTAGAGAATCCAGCTTCACAATGGGCAGCTGCAGATATACTAAGCTTTCATTTTTAGTGCTTACCTTTTGCTTAAACACACTACCTTGGGCGGAATCGAGTCCATTAATCATGCTGCTGTGAAGAAGAACACAGAACTGCTACTCAGAGTACAAAACAGTTCCTCTAGGACTGGTAATTTATTAAGACTGATTTCTTTAGGATGTTATTTTCCCCTTCTGAACTTTGGCAGCCTCTGCAAAACTCTTTCTCTACTGTATTTTAGTCTCTGTTTCTTCCTAGCATAGCATCTAATGCTTCCTTTCTGATGTCTGATTTCACATGCATTCACTCTGTGATAAGATGATGCTCATTTTGTAGTACCACTCCAGCAGCTGAATAATATCCTTTAGGATGATACTGCAAAAGAGTAGTACTTGAATGCAATGCTGATTCTGTGCAATAACCCGATAAAAATAGACATTTTTCCAAGGAGCTGTTCTCTTGAATGGATGCTCTGAAATTATTAATCTGAAAATACATTACGTTAAAGAGTAATCTGTTTCCAAAGGATGCAGTAGCCTGAGCTCCTACACAGTATGAATACAAAACCTTATTTTGCCAAGCAGGGTAAATTTTCAGGGATCTGAAATAGCTAAAAAGAAAGTGAAAAATCAAAGTTTCTGACTTTATTTCCAAGGAAGAAAATATTAACTCATGTGTTTTAATTTACAATGATTGCGTTTTCCACAGGAGAGAGGAATAAACCACATTTTGGACCTTTTCTAGTCATCCCAAATGCATTACATGTGTGTATACTATGCTGCCTCCCCAAATTGCGCTACAGCCAAAAACAACTCCATGAGGAGAGATGGAGTTTCCCATTGCTAAAACGCAAGGGTCCAATAAAACCCCAAGCTGCACACATTCCCAAATGAATGAAAGGGTGAGAAATACTCGAGTACAGTGAGAATTATAGAATCATAGAATAGTCAGGGTTGGAAAGGACCTTAAGATCATCAAGTTCCAACCCCCCCTACCATGGGCAGGGACACCTCACTCTAAACCATGCCACCCAAGGCTCTGTCCAACCCGGCCTTGAACACCACCAGGGATGGAGCGTTCACAACTTCCCTGGCCAACCCATTCCAGTGCCTCACCACCCCTGCAGTAAAGAACTTCTTCCCTATATCCAATCTAAACTTCCCCTATTTAAGTTTGAGCCCATTACCCCTTGTCCCATCACTACAGTCCCTAATAAATAGTCCCTGCCTTTCATTATGATGCTAAGCATTGTAAATCTTATCACAGAGGCTCACATGAAGTAAACCAGAAGCATGGCTGTTTCAATGGATTTTAGGGATGAAAGCAAGATCCCAAATGCTGCACATTCCTCTCACAGCTTTCTAAACTCAGATGGTTTCCCAGCTCATCT